TCCGGGTAGGGTCACCTTCAGTTGAGCCACCAGAAGGACGATAGTGCGTGTCCAGTGCGCCGGTCAATACGATCCCACCGCCCGTCGGCGTGGCGCGGTCTTGCACCAGGGATACGGGGAGTGCGAAGCTGATGATACGAAAGTCTACGCAATCCGTAACTAAGCCGAAATATAAGTAATGTTCATCAACATCAGCTCACTAACAACCATCGATCTATACAGCGGCAGATTATGTCTACTCCCACAGGCGGTTCAAGCACATGGGGGTTCTTGCATCACTGCAAATCAGTATGTAGAGACGATATTCAGTAGACATATGACACCTCAATAAGCCATACCTTAGGAACCACCACGTAGCAGTACTGTTAATCTAGCATGGACAAGTTACCTGACAGAAGAAGAGCTATAGTTGTTCGCTAGCTCGCTAGACAACGCCAACGTCCTCTCCAACAAAGCCCATTTCCCTGAACAGGGATGACTGAAACACGTCAGAAGGCGACACAAACCCTTGCTCGGGAAAGAGGAGTGATACCGAAGGAGTTTTGGCACAGTCATGAATGACCTCGCCCAGCTCACCACTCTCCCTCCCTGAAACCCATCACAGACCAACTAATTAAGCTAAAAGTGTCAATTCCCAGGACAAGTTTTGCCAGCCAGCAGCGTTTACACCTCTTCGGGACGAAGGTACAGGCTTTAGTGAAATCATAACTCCCAGCTTTTCTATGCCTTGGCCAGATAAACTCGTCATTCTCGGAGATTTCAACACGCATGTAGGGACAGACCATATCACCTGGGAAGGTGTGATCGGTGGACAGCAGTGTGGGGTCTGCCACAACGGAATTCACAGCTAGAGATGCTCATGGACATATTCTCACCTTCCGCCTGATAAAGTACGAGCAATCAATATGAATGTCCCCATGTTTGAGGTATTGACAAATGTTAGACGACCTGATATCGAAGACAGGGGACGATCAAGATGTGCTGAGGAAGAAGGCGACGTGTGCCATGGAATAGGCTGGACAGGCAACCACCTATTCATCTGCGGACATTAAGCACCACTGGAGTGTCATGCGAGGTGCCATCTAGACCACCACTACGACAGTTCTGGGATTCACACGCCTAAGAAACCAGAACGAGGAGATTCAGCGTGTTATCGCCGAAAAGGACCGAATTCACCGAACTTATGAGAACAATCATACCCGTCAAGTAAAGTCACTTTCGCTGTGTGTCATCAAACACTGCAGTGGGAACTCCGGGGAGATGCAGAGCGCCTGGTATACCAACCTGCTCTCGCAAACAACCGAGTCGGATCCCGGCAGTTGGCATGCTCTTTGACACAGATTTTGCCATGCGTACTGTTCTAGTCATAAACAACATATCTTTCTGGGTGATCCATTTAGGGCAAAAGAAGATTCTGATAGAGTATATTGGCGTCTAAGTTGTTTGAGTACCTTTAATGCGCGCATGACTTCTACGTACAGACATGCAGATTTCCATCTGCAGAAATTTATTCATTAGTCCGTTGCTTGGACGGCGTATACGAAACGCGCCACGGCCCTTGTCCTCTGGTATATGCACAGGTTGTTGTTATGATCTCCTTCCTCAAGTCCCTTATCAGATTTACTGAAGGTCAACAGGTAACCATCGATCAATATGAAGGCTCAGGGTGCTAAGTCGGTAAGGATGACAGTAAACTTCGGAGAGGAGATGTAGCAGTCGTATAAGAAGCATGTGATTCTTACTAAAACCTAGTTAGTCGTTCACTTGCATTGCTACTTGGCCTTGTAAAGCCCACATTTCAACGATTCTTTCCCCGTGAAGGAACGCACCATTTCTGTTTTGATCCTGCAGGCTCGTCGACTGCGTGCACGCTGTGGCGCTGTACATAGGTAGGTGCCGAAGCTTCGGGCCAGATGGTCTAGCAAGAGTGGGCGCAACCAATCTCCTGCATGGGGTGGTAGCGCACTAGGCCCTGACGGCAGTATCACGTGATGCTGTCGGTAGTCAGCTGACTGCAGTGCGCACTTCGCTCTGCAAAACTCGCCGCAGCACTTCAGAGTGCCGTTCAAATGAGTGCATACGTGTAGGTATATCTGACAGGTGTTACCTCCCGCGGTACGCACCCACTGTTCGCCAGTCTCACGCTCCTATTCTTTTGGTTTTACGCGAAAGTTCTCTACCGGAGTTGGCAGACACACGATTCCCTCTGTGCCGTCGGGCATTTATAAATTCTAACCTTTCTTGTCGATTGTAAAGAATCCTACGTCAGAGAAGTCCTGGTCGTCCAAGAGACACGTTAAGCCTCTTTCGGGATTTTAAGACCCTAGATGCAAGAAAGAGGACTGATTAACGGCCGGCACCATATTTCCATTTGCCCTAGCTTCTAGGCCTTACAAAAGTACGGTGATTTTGGTATTTGGGATCAGAGCATGTCCTTATTCCAGATGAGCTTATCCGGTATTAAAACTTCCGACGCAGCTAAGCATTGAAATCCGAATAATCGCAGTGTGGAGGGTGACCTGCACCATTTCTAGGTCACGGAAGGATTAAGGTTGCAAAACGCGGTAGACTTCGAGATGCAATTCTAAGAGCATGCATTAGTTGATAGGCTAATTAACATGATTCATAATATTGGAGCCCACCAAACTGGCATGTCTTCAGAACAAGGAAAAATCTTCGCGACCGCGCCTAATAACCCCCTACTGTGGTCTTTGCGTGCCAATGTAGCAGGGGTACACGGTCGGCCACGGGTGGATCTTCAAAATCTCAGACATTCCCAGACACGGCAGGTCATGGCTGATCGACAAAAAAAACGAGGAAATGCAACCGGTTTCTTTTTTTTCTTTGACAAAGTTGGGACTGGTGACTGCGTGTGCATTAGTTGTCGAAGGCGGTACACATAGTTGCGAGCGTTCTTGTCGGCTCAGCGAAAAGTTCGCCAAATACCAGTTCGGCCGCGCTGCAGTCCAAGACCTGATTCAGTCTCACCTGAATCCCAGTAAGTATCAGAGAAGGGTAGTATGTCCAATTCACTGGGTCATCTGCGGCGCAGAGGACGATGTTGATTTGACAGTGGAAGTGTTTCACCATTGCGTTGGCGGCTGGGTGTCAGACTGTCGTTCATATCCGTAAACAAGGTTTGGAGGAGTGCAGATTCGACTTAGGTGTATAAGCAGTCGTAAGTGTAGATGGGTCACCGAACATGACGACTGACGAGGATCTTGACGTGCATCAGCCTTATTTTTGAGAAGTACAAGATGGAACGAGTTTGTATGCTTGATTGTTGAGATTTGCACAATAGAGTCATACCTCTGCATGCGGAGTAACCAACCACAACTCCTCCTGGATAAGACAAGCAGTCACTTTCCTTGGAAACGAAAAGATCGTCGCGGGACACAATATGATAAACGGAGATGAAAGGCAATTAACTACGTGACCAGTAAGATTTAGACGAATTCGAATGGTAAGACAACATACCTGCCCTCGTAGAAGCCTCGAGTAAGGTGATAATCCAACGTTCAGGCCAGGTAGGTACCTTAGAAGAAAGACGACAATATTTTAGTATTGACATGAGAATCCAAAATGCATGATTTCCCAACTGATAACAGTTTTTGTTACCCCTCAAACCAAACGTCCTACGCAGTTAATTAGTTAGTTAGGTACATTTGCTCCATACAAGGGGCCGCGCGGGAATTGCGCAGGACGGACAACGGGGCTAGATCAGGGTACAGCGCAGATCCACACCGCTCTGGCCACCCACGCCTGATCCCGCCTCCAGTATTCTTGACTCCGTCTTGACACGGGGCCAGGTGGGGGAGGGAGTAGAGAAGGTGATGGATGCAGCACAAGCCTACTATCACTGTAAACTAGTTCACACGCAAGCCACCACCAATGTGCCCACCCTACTGTGCGGCATACGGTGGACATCAGTGGTAACGACAGCTGGACTGTCATATTTGAAGGGCTTTGACTGTTCCGGTAACCGTATAGTAATGATTAGGTACACGTGGCCGCTAATTCCAAAACGAAGAGGGACTGACGACTTCTGGCTCATGACTCCGCCACCAGAGAATTAGCAGACAAATGGCTTGAAAATTCGACCCACCAAATGAAAATAACTGAAATAGGCATGAGACCGCCTGACTGGCGCCTCAAAACAAGCTAGTTGCGTTCTCTGTTTGTAGGGATCACCAATAGACGACAGTCATCAGGTGCTACAGAAACCGCCGTCAGTCACTGATACCCCCCACAGAAGCCTACATGTGTATACGACAGTTCGGGTGTCTTGCCCGGCGATACCCACCGTGCGCTCAGCTATAAGGTAAAGCAGGCACAGTGATTTGCGTCTGATTTCTTTTATGGTGACAGTTGACTTTCGATGCATCTAGCGCACTTTCTTCTCCTCCCCCGCCTAAACCGGCTGTCAAGACAAAGTAAAAAAGACCGGAGGCCGGGGAGGACCCAGGTGGATGGCGCAGCCGAGCCGGCATCTTGGCATTCCACTCCACACCCCCTGGTCCACACAACGCCTGACCAGGATTTTAAGCAAAAAATGATAACACCAAAACGGGTCAGAAGGACGAGGAAGACTAAACAGTCATGCTCACGACCAGTATAACCAGTGGAAAGGAAGGCGTATGTATGTACCGACAAGGAAACCGCTGTCAGAGAACTGCCAGCGCATACCAGGCTGCGAGGGCTATGGTCTGCTGATCCTGGCATAGCAGCTCCTTACAATTCTTAAGGCCCAGAAGGGTAATATGTGATCCTGCATCTGTCTGGACCTCCACTCTTTAAGGACTGGATAACCATTCAGTCGTTGACTGAGAGGCACTACCCATAAAGCACACACACACACACACACATCTCACACTTGACTGAAAGTGCCAGAAGTCGCTTTGAGAAAGAGCTGACAGCCTGGCTCTCGGCCCACCAGTCCGCCACTCCACACATACGCACATACAACCGGGCAGACTGCGTGGACTGAGTTGGGGCTTCAGTCAGTAGCCTTCCAAGGCACGGTGGTTGATGCGCCGTGATAGTCTCGGACTCGAATCACACACGCAGCAGGGGAGCCGCATAAAGAAGGAGCCGAGAAGCACACTTCCCACTTCCGTGGCAGGTGGCAATTGGGTGCTCGTGATGGGTGATGGTGTTGTGAGGTGCAGGTGCTGGTGGGGAAAGGTGTGATGAGGTTGTGTAGCTGGCGGTTGTCTACCGCAGCTACTCATGAATGCGTATTTGGTCAAATAGGCCCACGCGGTGGGTGGATGTATGGATGTAGTGAGGGCAGTTGGGGCGGATGCGGCGATCGTATGCGAATGCTCCAGGCACTGGTCTCCGTGAGATGGATTTGCAACTGACTGAGCAGACCGATAGGTGAGGTGAATGTGCGATCGCGATGAGGATTGATATGGACCGAGTCCATGTCGCTGGAGGTGGGATACTGGTGTTGATGGCAGCAGGTGATGGGACGTCGTCCTATCGGTGCGGGGAATGCGTGGTTGCGTGGTATTGATGGAGCTGATGACTGTGGCCGATGCATGGGTTGGAGCAGAGCGGGTGGTAGCAGTGATTGATGTCGACAAGACAGCACCAGTGTAATCGGCGGTGACGGGGGTGGCGGTTGGCTCGGGGTTAGCGGCGGGGACAAGCGTGGGAGAAGAAGTTGACGCTGTCGGGTTGCTGGCGCATTGCGTCCGAAGGTGACCTACGAGACAGATTGGTGCCCGCAACGTCCTCTGATATCGTGGATACGTTAGCGGAGGTCGAGCGTTGGTGTTGTCAGGCGTGGGCAGCTGCGATTTTCGAGTATCGCGTTTGGCTTTGGAGGCGGTGACGCGGTTGGCTTCGTAGATCGTTGGGCCTGTCATCATTGCCCTCATTCAGGTCGATCCGTCCTTGACGAGGTCTTCCCAGTTGGCCGGGTTGACCTGCAGGCGCTTTGAGAAAGCCTTCATAGTGTCCTTGTGGCGCTGCAGTTGACTTCCTTGTCAGCGAGAACACGTGGCGACATCTTCACCGAAGAGTCGTTTGGGTATCCGCTTATCGTCCATCCGCACGAGGTGGTCGCTCAGTGCAGTTGCAGTTGTCTCAACAGGGCGTGGATGCTAGGGATTCCTGTCCGTTCCAGTACGTCCGTGTCCTGGATCTAGACCTGCCACCTCAGCTTTAATATTCGTCGAGGACAACTGAGGTGGAAGTGATTGAGACTGAGCGCCCGCTTCTTGCACACCGTTCAGGTCTCCGCTCCATGAGGCAGCGTCGGCAGGATGACCGCTTTGTACACCCGCAATTTGGTTCTGATGCGTGTACTGTGTCGATTCCAAACTGTGTTTCGTAGACGGTCGAAGACTTGGTTGGCCTTGGCAATGCGGTGGGCCACTTTGTCGTCGATTTTTGGCGCTGCGAGAGCACAACTGTCCAAAATAGAAGCTTGTTAGCGATAGTTGTGAATACACGCGGCTGAAAGCGTATTCACCAAGGATTGAGGAATTGGCCTTCCGTCCAGTAGGCAAGGCGGATCTCGGGACATTCGCACGGTAGGCGTCCATCATCATGGCAGAGAACATGCGACTGAAGAGGATGCAGTCCTGCTTGACTCCGTTGGTCATAGCGAATGACTCAGAGACGACTTCATTTTCTGTGACGCGTTCCATCATAGAGCCGTCGTGTAGCTGACGCAACATCTGAGTGAATCACTCGAGACAGCCGAATTTTTGCATGACTTTCCACAGTCCTTCACGATACCCCGCATCGAAGCCTTTCGTCAGATCCACAGAAGTAGAGTAGAGGTGGATCCGCATGTCCTAATACTTTTCTTGCAGTTGGCGGACGTCCACGATCATGTCGGTGGTTCCACGATGACAACGGAAGCCGCACTCGCTTTCTGGCAGGAGATCTTGTTTCAGATGGTTGTTCAGGCGGTTGAGAAGGATGCGAGCGAAGATCTTTCCAACGATGTTCGGCAAGGAGATTCCTCAGTGATTGCCGAGAGCTGACGATTACCTGTAAGCTTATAGAGATGGGCGACCGTGGAGCAATTGAAACCCTGAAGGACTTGTCCTTAGCTCCACATCTCCCGCAAGAGCGCCACCAGATGATCGATGAGTTGGCGGCCACCCTGCCTGTAGATCTCAGCAGGGATCGCGTCCGATCCCGACACATTCCCGCTGGAGAGTTGCTGAACGGCCCAGTTGGTTTCGTGTAGAGTGGGCGGGAGGCTGAGGTCGACGTTGGTCCCCCCGTGAGGCAGACGGGCGGTGGCGGTGTCGGATATAATGGAGGGATGGTTGAGGACGCCTCTGTAGTGTTCGGTCCATCGCTGTAGGATTTGTGCTTTTTCAGTGAGTAGGGTGGTCCCGTCGGCGCTGAGAATAGGAGCGGTGGCTTTGACTGTTGGACCGCAGACGGCTTTGGTCCCAGAGATGCAGTTCTTTCATTCGTTACGATCCGCGCATCCTTGGGTCTCCTCGGCCTTGAGCATTGTTCAGGCTTCCCGCATCTCCCGCAGCCGCTGTTACACAATGCGATGGCGACTACGGTAGAAGGCTGCTTTGTTGTCTCTGGTGGGGCGGTTGACGTAAGTTTTGTGCAGTCGGTTCTTCTCGGCAAGTGGGCTGCGTATGACGGCGTCGTTGTCGTCGAACCAGTCATGATGTTGGCAACATGCGCGACAGAGGACAGTCAGGTCGGCTGACTGGATCGTGTCCCTCAGCTGACATCACCGGTTCTTCACGGAGACGTTCTCGTCCTCGTCGGCGGTGGTGGCGGCGGCGACTGGGAGTTTGGCTAGACTTTGGAGTAGTTCATTGGTGAAATAGAGATGGTAAGCAGGCAAAGACAACAAAGCAATATTCAAATTACCCGGGGGTCGCTTACCTTGAGGTCTCCTGCATGGCTGTAGGCGAAGCCCCATCTTGGAGAGGACAAGGCAATGTTCGGTCCACCCTTCAACGCCAGGAATCGCCTTTATCACCAGCACGTCCTGCTGTTCTCGCCTCCGGACGAGGACATAGTCCAACGGGTGCCAGTGTCACGAACGAGGGTGCATCCAGGTGACCTCCCGCGTCGGAAGGCGGAAGAAGATGTTGGTCAGGATGAGGCAATGTTCTGCGCAGGTTCGTAGGAGGAGCAGGTCATTGTCAGTGGAGACGTCAAGACCATAGCGACCCAGCACTCCTCTCCGGGCGGCATGGTCTGTGCCAACTCGGGAGTTGAAGTCACCAAGGACATGCAACTTGTCCACTTTCAGCACAGTCGCCGGGGGGCGTGCATGTCCTCGTAGAATTCGTTCCTCGCCTTGTCAGGGCTGGTCATCGTGGGGGGCGTAGACGCTGACAATGATGATGATGATGATGATGATGATGATGATGATGATGATGATGATGATGGCCGTGGCGGTGGTGTTGGTGGTGGCTGCGGCGGTGGCGGCGAATTTGCCTTACCAGTGAGGTAGATGGAGGCCCATCAGGCGATCGTTGATGCCCTGCTGCAGGTAGCAGTTATCCCACGGTGCTATTCCGGGTGGCAAAGATGACGCCCGCGTCCTGTCGCTCTGCCTTGGGGCGACGGCTTCAGAAGAAGATGTATCCGGCATCCATCTCCAGTAGGTCATGTCCGGAGAAACGGGCTTCTCTGAGTGCAGCAATGTCAACCTTGTAGCGCGCCAGTTCTCGAGCGACTAGCGTTGTATTTCGTTCCGGCCGGTCGCACCTGAGAGTATAAAAAGGAGAACGAAAATTCCATGCCTTCAGAGTGATCGGACTCACCCTACCAGTCTGGCGGATGAGGCGGCGGGGAGGAGGGAGAAGAGAGAGGGCGCGCGCGCGTTGTTTCGATTTTGAGTGTTTCGACTGTGTGTTTTACATCTGCGACCACGGTCAGTCTTCAGACGGCGTGGTTCCCCAGCATTTTTTTATGGCACCTCTTCTATCCCCTTGCAGGGGTGCGCAGTGCACGCACTCAATAGGGCTGTTCAGTTGCCCCAGACGGCTGCCGAACTCCACTATGGGCCACGGCTTTTTTAGTGGAAGAGCGACCCGAGTTAGCCTGGGACTGCCGACGACATCGACGTAAGCTTGAAGGGTGGATGGGGTAAGGGTAGAGAGACGGGATGCAGAGCTTTCCCGTCCCTCTCTAAGCTAAACTGGTTGTTAAAATATAAGTGGTGAGCAGATAAATTCAGCAGAACGGCATTTAGCCTACAATAAGGAGAGACACGAACAAGCGGACAAAAAGCAAGCAAGCAAGAACAACAAAAGTAAAGGCAACAGAAGAAATTCAACAGAACAGCAGTCACTTTTTAAAAAGGCCAGACACAAACAAACAAACAGGGAGCAGACAAACAAGAACAAGCAAAAACAAAGACAGCAGAGCAACGTCCGCCGATGGTGCGCAAAACGGGCCTCCTCTCGACTGCGCCGATGCGGTGATTCATCCGGCCAACCGAGATTACCGTGTGCGAAGATGCATACACGGATACCCTCACTTGGTTTAGCCCGCCAGTCGAGGCGGTTACCTGGGTGTGGCCGCTGGGCAGAGCCTAGCTTTGGGGAGCCACATTTGGGAGTTGGGTACCAGCCAGTGGACGCTAGGCGTAGTCTACATCTGCAAGCAAATGAACGACCTACTACGTCCGTCGCATGGACCCACCACTGGACCCACCTACACCTCACCACAGACACACGCACACATATAAGCATACGCGATCCCCAATGGCACCGTAAGGCTACAACGGTCCACAGGACAGGTCCTGTGCAGAAGACAGGTGCCAGCAGAAGGCGATTAATATTATGTTCTGGGCTGAAGAAGAGTATGTCTATGGAGCACACTGGCGGACGAACGCTCAGCTGCCGTTTAACCCCGCTGGGACATGCTTCCGGGTGTCTTGGGTGGGAGCGTGTCCACGTGAGCCTTGCTGTGGGCTGACAAGCTTGGATGGCTGTGATGGGCCGGTGTCAAGGATTACTTGGTCGTGGTGAAGAACACCATACAGAATCTCAACATTCAGAGAAAATGAACTGGTGCCAGTGGACATGTGCAGGCATGTACCAGACAGAGAGACGCGGTGTAATGCCAGACACCAGGAGTGGGGTTTCTGTCTCCTCCTCCTCCTCCTCCTCCTCCTCCTCCTCACCCAACAAAACGATCAGTATGTGAGGGGATAGGTTTAGTGCGCTTTCACACTGAACTACGCACAACCCGATCTTGTTCGCACATCGCATGGGCGTATCTTTGTCCTCTGGCGTAAATAAATGAATAACTCTGTGCCGAAAAAGCCTGACTTTTGCGGAAGCGCTGAATTTCTACGGTTCTGCTGACCAATCACCCTGACCCTGTGTGTTAAGGCCTGGCACATACTGTGGGAGACAGGACATGTGTGGTACACGTAGACAGGCCAGTCGCCGAGCCCGAACCAACCTCTGGTCGTTCTGACATTGTCTTCTCATCGGAGCCTGGCGGACGAGAGAGGAGAAAGTGCGGTAGATGCCACGTACTGCATGTACATACGCGTCGGCTTTCTTCCGCTCTCAAATGCTAATTGAGGGCATAACTGGTTGGGTAAGGTAGAAGCAGGTCAAGACAACGGCCTTTTTCGGTCTTCCTTAGATCTAGAAAGACTTCATATCGCTAATTCTAAGTCACCCGTACAGGTACTGAGCTGAGCACGAAGTAGTTCTCTGAAGCAGTAGGTTACACTTGTGATTAATAGCGCCACGAGTGTATAATGTTATGAGTTGTGCTTCTCTCAGGTCACCCCTGTACAATCGAGCAAATGATGTTAACCGTTCAAATATCATTGGTTTGAAACGGTATTATACTGCGGACTAAGAGTTGAGAAACGGCCTCGCCACAAGTTGATACTAGGAGGGGCTAGCACAACATTTGACATGCAAGAAGACGAGTTCTTGGTGTCAACTGCAGAGGAGTGCTCACCATTGCTGTAACAGGAATTATACTGGTCTGACGTTCCCTACTTCTTATTTGGGTTCGTTCTCAAACATCAGCTGTGGGGAAGCACAGGGGGTTGGAAGATTTGAGTGTTTGTTATAACTTTGCATACTTATTGCTCGACAGGCCGCGTTCGAGTTATTGATTGTTGAACATTCATCGGATGCGGATGACAGAACACACTTCGAAAATTAGGGGGTATAGCACCAACTCCCAAACTGTGACCCGATCTGCATAATCCACCCACACCTCAAATTCTGACGAGATTGAAATCTTTGCCTCACTGCGAGTGCCTCTGATTGAGCGTGTCAGCCTCCATTTTGGCCTCTTATGAGTCACTGAATGCACGGAAGTATTGCAGGTAATGCGATTGTCCAGGTCAGCGTTCACTGATGGGATTCACTGACTGACCAAGTAGAGCGGTCTTAACATGGGCATCTGGAATAACGTCAACCGCTCACGCTCGGCAGAACGGTATAGCCAGCGACAGGGCAGCCTAGCTCCATACTTCTGTCCAAGTTTGTCTTTCAGTCGTTTGCGCACACCGTCTCAACAAGATTTGCACGATTACTTCTGTCTTTCTGATCTTTGGTTAGGGAACCTCACCACCATCGTGCAGCTTAGAAGATCCGAATTCAATCTATAAACAGAGTGGGATCCACTCCCCGCGCATCCATACCGGAGGTTGGGTGTTGGAGCGTTGCTTTGGTCAGCTATTCAAGTTAATCGTGCAGAGTGTTGTTTGGAAGTGGAAAGATCAGCAATGGATGTGGTGCAGGTGCAGGTCATTGCCATAAACAGCGTCTCGAAGATTATCATTCGGGCAACAGGAGAAATGGCACGATCTCGCGATAATAAATAGGCTGAAATGTGCCGATATTTAAAAGTCATATAAAGTATCTACTAACATTGAATAAGTATAGAGGAATAGGTAACAATAAATACATCGAAAACTACAAACTGGGCAAAATGCCTAAAAAAGTTGAGGTTTCCAGGACTTGGGGTGAAAAGTAAATAGAGATTTCAAGGGAACTGGACAACAGCAACACAGGACACAGGACTGACATTATGGAAGAGGTCCACTACTGCTCCGCGAAGTGGGCACGGAAGCGAGCCGCAATGCATCTACCTTACACTCGCTTCCACATCCACCACATTCCATTGGAAAGGCAAAGTCAAGACGACTGGAGGTGGAGGTGGGCTCAGTGGCTGACAGAGAAAAACGGCCTGTCCGCGCGTGTCACGCATGACCTAGTCCCCTAGTTCACCATAGGCAGGTTTCCCCCTTCAGTGTCCGCCACACTCCCTATTTGCTATCACGTGCGGCGGTTTTGAGACAGACTGCAGTGACTGACGAGGAAGGTAGCCTCCACTTATAGGGGACAAACCGTGGACCTTCACAATGAAGCTGCAAAATTAACACATGATGTTGATGTGTGCAGAACCCCAACCTGCGCACGGCAAGCTGTCGTGGGCATACAACTCCATAGCACACTATCATTATACAACCAGCAATTTTCATAGCATGGTGACTTTGGTGTTCCGTTGGTTAACCGAGCGATTTCATCTGTGACCGCTGTTGGCAACACCTCAGATTCTGAACTGTTGATACTGTTTCACGAAGGCTGATTCTTACTTACCATGTCAACTGAAATGTGGCGCGCGACAGCTCTGTAGAGGCACGTATCTACCAGGGCGTGTCAACCCACGTGTTATAAAGTTGGTAAAGGCAGTCACATGAGAGCGGTAGACAGACAAAGAAAGCGGATGCACTCATTCATGTGCGTAGAACGTACTCAAGTGGTCTCGCGTACATGGGAGACCGTCTGAAAAAGGAACAGTCGGAACGCAACGGAAAGTATATGTCTCCACAGGTTTCCATCCTGAATGAATTCGCTTTTTATCAGCTGACAGGGCGGCAGGAGTCACGGGCGCTAGGTATGAGAAATCACGCTACCACACACTTCGGTATCAAGGTCGGCCGTATTGGGCCTACTGAACATTTTGAAATTGGAAAGTAACAGGGCTCATGTGCATTAATAAAAGCGGTCGAACTGTCTATGGGCGTCTACCCATGAAGGAACTCGAAGATTTGATGACATCTTAACACGAGAAGCAAAATCGGACACCGTTATTGAACGCATATGTCCCTGTAAACGTCTCGTAGGTAAATGCGGATGAGAAATGAGGCCTGAAATCTAATAGAGCGTTGTCAGTTACGATGTGACAACGGACCGGTCGATTCGGCTAAGGCTCGTCGATAAGGATATTTCGGCTGCATCTGTTTCCTAAAAGAACAGCCCATATATGGCGGTACTCTAAGGAAGCGGTACTACACGCACACAGAACGACGAGGATCCCGCCTCATCATTCGCTGGACAATTCGTTAGGAAGTTTGAAACAGACGATCGAAAATAAAGTCCGCTACGCTTTGCCAAAGCTGGCCTTAGAAGCGGGCTCTTTACACGCAGCCTGTTATGCTCTAACCGTAACGCTTAGCTGGTAGCCCGGTTTACAACACCTTAATCGATTCATCAAAAGAGAACTCAACAGCAAGGGTGAAGAACACGCGTCCATTGCTGAGATCTCAACAGCCAAATCTGATGATAAAGGGCAGATACAGAATGTAAAAGGGCGGTCTGCAATTGAGCCAATCAGCTCATGCCCTTGACCTGTTGGCATGAGAATGGCCTGTTGACTCATCTAAGTGGCTGAACACCCCTCCAATCCTGCCAGTGGCCGGCGCGATCTCAACGCGCTCGCGCTGTGCGGACGGGTCGACAGGACATCATGTGCGCGCGTCGTTAGAGCGGCATGGGAATGAAACGGTTAGGAAGGCCTCTCCTAGCACAACCCTCCTGAAGCTCCTCGTCTTAGTCTTCTTCATCCCAGTATGCAGTGCACTTCACACAAACTATTGAGAAGATACAGTCCCCAACGACAACAGGCAAGGACATCCTTGAAAACAGTTCAAGTCTTGAGTGAGCACATGAATTCCGTAGCGCGTCATCAAGCCGTGAAACGGGTTATATGAAGGTATACCAGCCCCTACGTGCATACTCGTCAAGAATCACCTTATTTACTTAGAATCGATGATAGCCTGTCACAGTAGTTCACATCGGGGCGGGTCAGCGCGGTGTAGGCCATCTAGTTAGGCAACACCTATCGTAGAAGTGTTCAGTGCAGGTAGCTTGCTGTGATATCGACAGCATAACCGCACATCTTCGACAAGTTTTGCCTTGAAATTGTCACCTCCCCTAAGACACTACAAACACAAAAATAACCAGGTTTTTGACCAATGACAACAATGGGAGGGGGGGGGAGGTTGACAGGGGTCCCAGTGTGCACGGCAACTGCTGACAACGGGGTCTTCTACCGCACCCCGAAATGTTGGCATTTGTTATGGTGCGCAGATCCGATAACGCCAGCCAGAGTCCAATATGGTCCCCGTGCTGGTCCAATGCATCTATCACGTGGCCCGTTTGGGGGGCACAACACACACAGACACGCACGATAGTTCGACCGTCGGTTTTGACTATGTACACCGCGTGTTCCACCACAGGGTGAGAACAGGGACGGTGGCTTGCGCGTGAGTTAAAGTGAGAATATACTTGCGCTGCATCTACCACACTCCCCCCTTCCGCACCTAGACGCGGTGTCAAGACAGAGTCAAGAAGACCGGAGACGGGGAGGGTGCAGGTGGATGGCACGATCGAGCCCGTACTTTGGGCCTCCACTCCACAGCTCCTGGTCCACACAGCAAATAACCAGGTTTTTGACCAACAACAGCAAAGAGAATGGAGGCTGGCATGATCGAAGCCGCACCTAGACATGCCGCCCACACCCGGCTCAGAGTGGGAATGCCATAAAGGCCACATTAGGAAGGAGCCATTACCGCCTGACTCCTAGACCTCCAGCCGGCCACTCCACAGAAACACATAAGAATGGACCGACTGCGAGGTCCAAGTTACTTCATCAATTGGCGACCTTCCAAGCCACGGATTTTAGCGTACTGGGATAGCTTCAAACGCGTCAGCTTGTCTATAAAGAGGAAAATGCGCCGAGTCGTCGACCTCACTCACTCACTCACCCTTCCCATTCCCACACCCCAGACACTGTCCGGGCCGGTCAGTTGACCGGAGCGGGGAATGGGCGCGATGGCTGACATGGTCTGGTGACCTTGTCTGCGTGCGCCACATGCACGACCTGGCCTCCCAAGCACGAACACCAGGATTTCACACAACGGGGGTTGAGCGACGTACCTCTCACTTGCGTGAAAGTGCCGTGGAAGGAGTTGTTTCAGCCCGGCCCTTAGCCCACCAGTCTGCCACTCAATACAAACACACACAGCTGGATGGACTGCATGGACTGAGTTGGGGCGTTAGTCAACAGCCTCTCAATCCGCGGCGCTTGACGCGCCGGGATAGTCCCAGGTTCGAGTCTCCCGTGCAGCAGGATTCGAACGGAGACCGAGTCGAGACGCACACTTCCCACTTGTGCAGGAGACGACAATTGGATGCCTGTGGTGGGTAATGTTGATTTCTGGAGAGATGCTGATGAGGGAGAATGTCGTGGTGTGGTGCAGCCGGCGGTTGTCTACCACAGGTTTTCATGAATGAACATGTGGCCGAATAGGCTCATGCGGTGCATGAATGTGTGTAGGTAGTGTGGACAGTGGAGGCGGATACGACGGGTGTAGGTTAGTGCTCCAGGCACTGATTCGCCTGTCTCTTTGTGATGGATTCGCAAGTGACCGAGCAGGCCGATGTGTGAGGTGAAGGTGCGGTCTCAATGGTTTAATGTATAGACCAGGTCCTCGTTACCAGTGTTGACGATTGCGGTGTTGGTGTTTGTTGGTGTGTCGGGATTGTGTGTAGTGTTGATACGCATGGCAGACGCCACAACGGCAGACGTTGAGGCGGGGGGGGAGGGTGGAGGAGGAGGAGGAGGAGGAGGAGGAGGAGGAGAACAAGGAGGGGGAGGAGAGCGAGGAGGAAGGGAAGGAGGGGTAGGAGGGTGAGAAGGATGGAAGTGGTGGTTCAGGAGGACGGTCAGAAGTATTTGACGGCGCAGAGGACGAGGGAGAGGTGGACGGAGGTAAGACTGTTGGTGCGGTCCGAGTGGTGCAGTTGATCCGACGGTGTCCAACGAGTCCAGTTGGTGCCCGGAATGTCCGTTGATAACGTGAACACGTTGGGGGCGGTTGTACGTTCACATTGCGAAATCGGCGCATCTGTGATTTGCGGGCTTCTCGTCCGGCTTTCGCGACAGCAATGTGGCTTATCTCGTAGATAACTCCGCCTATCTTCACTGTCCTCCTCCAGGTCGGCCGGTCTCGGTCGAGTTCTTCCCAGTTGGACGGGTTGATCTGCAGACGCCTTAGGGGGTCTTCAGAATGTCCTTATATCGACGGATTTGGCCTTCTTGATGGCGGGAACCCGCGGCGACATCTCCAGAGAAGAGTCATTTAGGTAGCCGCTCGTTGTCCATCCGCACGAGATGGCTGCTCAAACACAGTTGAAGTTGTCTAAGCATGGCGTAGATGCCAATGATTCTCGTCAGCAGTATCCGTCGGAGACAGATAAGGAAGAAGAGGTGGTGCCCGCGCGCCTGCTTCATGTACACCGTCCAAGTCTCTGCTCCATGCAGCAATGTCCGGAGTATGACGGCCGTGCACATCTTCAGTTTCATGCTCAGCTGGAGACCATGACGATTCCAAACAGTGTTTTGAAGACAATGGAAGATCTGACTGGTCTTGGAAAACTTTGTCGTCGATTTTGGTGCTGCGGGAGAGAGTACTGCTCAGGTACATGAAGTTGTCCACTACTTGCAGTTGGACTTCGTTCATGATGACATGCAGTGCATCGTGGGGGGCTGTGTTGGGTGGCGGTTGATGCATGAACACCGTCTTCTGCGTGTTGACGATCGGATCGAAGTTCTCGCAGGCGGCGGGGAAAAGATCCATGCTTCTTTGCATGCCTCCTTCAGTAGTTGTATTTTGGGTGCAGTCATCGACGAAGAGAAGTTCGTGAATAGTGGTTGTGGATACGCGTGACTGGTAGTGCATCCGACGCTGATTTAGGAGGTGGCCGTCCGTCCTTTAGGCAACGCGGATCCCGGGCATTCGTTACGGTAGGCGTCCATAAGCATGGCAGTGAACATAAGGCTGAAGAGGGTGGGCGCCAGGACGCAACCCCATTTCACTCTGCTGGCCACTGCGAATGCCTCTGAAAAAGCTCCATTTTCTGTGACTCGCGCCATCATGTCATCGTGGAGCTGACGCACAATCTGAATGAATTGCTCAGGACAGCGGAATTTCTGCATGATTTTTCAGTCCTGTGCGATTCCCCCTGTCGAAGGCTTTCGTTAGATCCACGGAAGTAGAGCACAGGTGGTTCCGCACCTCCAGGCACTTCTCTTGCAGTTGACGGGCGGCGAAGTTCATGTCCGTGGTCCCGCGGTGACGGCGGGATCCGCACTGGCTTTCTGCTTGGAGACTTTGTTCTTGGCGTCATTCATACGGTTGAGAAGGTTGCGAGAGAAGATTTTCCGGTGATGTTCAGCAGGGAGTTGCTTCGGTTGTTATCGCAGAGTTGGTGGTTACCTTTAAGCTTATAGAGATGGGCGATTGTGGCGCCCTTCATATCCTGAAGGACTTGTCCTTAGTTCCCCATCTCCTGGAGGAACGCCGTAAGATTATCCGTGAGTTGGGGGCCACCGTGCTGAGCTGGATTCAAGACTTCTTAAACAGTCGTAGACAAAAAGTCACTGCGGGCGGCCATTGCTCAGAATGTGCACTTATTAAAAGTGGAGTCCCACAACGGTCATTATCTATGTAAATGATCTAATAGGGGAGTGGAATAGCACATGGCGCTCTTTGCAGACGATCTTGAACTTTGGAGGGTGATAAAAGATGAATACGTCAAGATACTATAAGAGGACGTAGGGAATTAGCACGCATGGAGCGAGATATAGTGAATAAAATTCAACGTCAAAAATGTGTGGCGGTGCATATAGTATTAACAACGCGAAGAAAAAATGCGTCCTCGCGACATTATCTCCTGGACAATCAACCACTTGAAACCGTGGATGTACAAAAAGATCTTGGAACATTCATTACAGACGACTTAATCGTCAGCACGCAGTGTTCTAAAGTCGCAGCGCGCGCAATGCCAGTCGTGAGTGCGCTACGAAAAACGTTCAATAACTTGCATACAAATGTCTTTGGCAAGGTATATGGAGTATTTGCGCGGCCACACTTGGAATACGCAGTACAGGCTTGACAGCCGTGGCTTCGGAAGGATGTATATATCCTTAAAGAGGTACAGCGACGTGCTACAAAGGCTGTCCATGAACTCAAAAATTTTACGTACGAGCAGCGCCTGACGGCCTCGAAACTCTGTTCGGTCCACTACAGGCAGGACAGAGGTGACCTCGTAGCAACTTTTCAGTTGCTAAGCGGAGTTGATCTGGATGACGACTGGAAACTCCCTTTGAAATGGGCCCGAAGTGTACTCTCAGACGACGCGATTATCAGCTTAAAAAGGAACTATGCCACGCAAATCAACATTCCTACTTTTTCTCAAAGAGGACCATTCGCCAATGGAGTTCTTTGCCGGCGTATGTTGTTAATTCCCCTACCGTGAGTGTATTCAAGAGATATCTGAGTAATCACCTGCTAAAAGTCAACCCGAACTGCCTAAGCCGATATGGCGAATTAATGAAATGATTATCAACATACTACAAGCATTAATTCAACAGATCCATTTGTGTGCATTAAATTTGACACGTATTAAAATTTTCACAGTGCGAATGCTCTGAACAATCTTTTCGCAGTTAGTTCGTAAATGCCATATATTTTTCGCATTTATGTCTTATTATTATATTTATGCATTCTGCACACCAAAACTGCATGCAAAATTTTTGCAATTTAACTATTTTCCTTCACACCTGTACGTTAAAAGAGTTTTTGGGGCTTCTGTCGTTTACTCCAAATATACTGACGGATGCTGACCGACTGACTGAAATAGATTGTGTGTAAAATGTTTATCCATCTAAATTTCAGCCTTTCAAGATATTATCGATTTTTCAAGCGGGTCACGGCTCGTGTGGTTTCCAATAAGAGACAGCCACATTTTAGATCCGATCTTTGCTAATGAAATTGCTCCTCTTTTTGTTGCTTTCAGAATGGACCTTTTTGATAGTAACCATGTATTAATTCACCGCTGCCTCCCGTTTTCCTTTTCAAAAATTCCAACATAGTCCAGGCCTACCTAAATTACGATTGAGCAGACAACAACTTAATAAGTAACTATCTTGGATCATTGAATCGGTACAATTTTTTTCCTGTGATGATGCAACAATTTTTTGTGACGTCATGTCCAAGGATTCCAAAGATACCTTAGAATTTATTTTTCGAAGATATCTCAAGTCCAAGTCTTCGGATTCCCTTGTTCCTCATTTTCTTTGTAACAAACTTAAAAGGCCAAGAAGACAGCTGCATGACCCTTCCACTAGTTATTTATCCGTTCATCTGAGAGTCACATACGTTTTCGAAATGGCCCTTAGGATGTGCCAAGCGCACGAAAGGCAGAGAGAATCACTTGCTCTCGGTGAGCTAAGCCCTGCTGAAATCCGTCTTTAAAGTCTTCCGTCACCGGTTTTCCTCTAAGTGTGATCACGAAATCCCCCATGTCAAGCGACAGCAAAATCTTCCCTATCGATGACACTGACAAGGCGGAACTGTTTAATGCACTCTTGGCAAAACACCTTACAAATGAGTCTGAACAAGTTCAGTTTTCTTGTCTGCCTTCAGATACAACACTCAATACTACCGATGTCTCCTAAAACCTAATTCAGAAACACATTAGTCGTTTAAAAATTCACTCTGCACGGGAGCGGATAATATTCCAAACTGGATTATCAAGCAGGCACCAGAACTTCCCAACTTGCCTAGTCACTTATTGTCGGTCTATATTTCGATCGGATTTTTCCCGAAAACATGGCAGCCCTAAATTATCCATCCAGTTTTCAAGTCAGAAACTGATCCGATGTAAATAACTATCGGGTCGTGCATAAAACACCGTCTCCGGCAAAAGTACTTGAAAATACCGGTTTCATTGAAATTATTGATTTCTGTCTAGTTTCTGAGCTCTAGTCAGCATGGACTTTTACCTAAAAGGTCTTGCGAAACCTGCCCCTTAGCCTTTCTGAATCTAATCACTTCTCTTCATAATAAGCAGCAGTCAGTGGTGGTTAGCTACCTTGATCTTAGCAGAGCCTTCGACAAGGTGCCACGTAGACGTCTTTTAGTAAAATTGGAAGCCATCCGCATTCGAACACCACTTCTCATCTTCCTCGAGTCCTACCTATCCGGCCGCTATCAGAAAGCCATATCTGGTGACAACTACTCAACACCTCACTCGATCACGTTTGTGGTACTTCGAGGCACGGTGCTTGCACCGCTTCCCTCCCTTCTGAACATCAATGGTATTTCGACAGCAGTCAGAGATCCGCAAACGTTTATTTATGCCGATGACCTCAAGCGTATTTACTTATACTCTAGCTCCAATCTTCCATGTATTGACGCTCTCACTCCGAGGGCTCGGTCGCATGTCATGCACACTTCCACCTTTGTGATCCCGCCGCCTCTTTGCTCTACATCTAAACGTTCCCCTTTTCTCGTCGAAATATACCTCCTTCTGAAATAATTTTCCACTATAACTTAGGTCACCGTCTAGCTTGTTGGTGTTAGATCGAAACTGCGTAAACAACTTACCTCGGAAAGCATAAAGTCATGATTGGCTATGTCCTTCCTGATCACTCAGCTTCTGGATTTCAAAATGATCCTCCTGGGATTCACTGTCAACTAATACATCTTTTGCTTGCTTAAATGTTTAATCTCGCTTAGATGTTTACGACCCCCTGTTTTTAATTGGCTGTTATTTCCACTGTTGTTGCTCCTCCTCTGGAGTCATGATCTTCGCGGTTCTTGATGTCGTCTCCTTTTTCCGACTACAAGCGATCTGTTGACGATAATGGCGGGTTTCTCCGTTTTCGTCGTCCGCTAGTAGTTAGTCGGCCAGAAAAGAAGCATCATGGTCGTATCTTCACGCGCTTTGATGATCCTCGCAGCCTTCAATGTCCCCTACCCGCTTTGACTCTAAACGGACTCCGACCGAATGCGTTGGTTTTCTCTTGTCTCATCACATAAGGGCTGATTTCGGTGTCCGCACAAAAGTATTATGACTGCATCAACGGTGCGTAATCTCATTCCGCGTAAGATTTCCACGTTGATCTTGGACGTTTCGAACCCTCATTTGCTCTCACCCGCCGGATTATTCTGTCCAACCCGTATATTTAGCTTCCCATGAGCGACAGTTTTTCCCCTTTAGAACTAATCAAACCTCATTCATTTTGCTCTTTTCAAAAAAGTGAAAGATTTTTTCACTGTTTGCTGGCCGTTTTTTACACCAAATTGTCCATTTTATAATCATACAATGAACACTGTACAGCGTTTGCCTACTTGTTTTAAAATTCATATGAAAAAATCATATACTTAGTATGAATGTACCATTATTGATGCTAAATAAAGCAAATTATTTGCTACAGTTTGATTTGCTTTCTGCTATCCAGCAATATTTTGAGAGGACGGGTTGGCAGCAATGTGTTGTCCTATCTTCTCTCCTCTTTCCGCCCCGGAATGCTCTAGAGAATTTTATTTCCACTTCTGGCTGAAGTAATTAGTTTACTAGGTCATGAAGAAAGTGAGATCATTTGAGACACGATCGTCACGTGTGATTTAATTCGATTCAGACGAACCAAAGACAACAAAACAATATTAGCGACTCCGGTGCTCCTTATTTAGACTTTCTGGTAAACACTGCACGAGGACGAGAACGACTTACGGAGTGCTTGTTTAGATTCAGTTGTTTGCTATCGACGAACCATCCAGGGGGGTCTATCAGAATTGATTGTGACTTCAAGTTCCTGTTGTGACGTTTTCCCATCTCACCTAGCCACGAGTTCCTGTCTTCGCATTCAACAACATGCTCAATAGAACACTCG